GTAGATACCTAAATCACGTCATACGGACGTTGGACGGAAAATCAGGGCAAGTCAAAAGTTCCCTAATGTTGCTGTCATTTTAACAGCAAAACCAATGAAAATTCATACAACATGTCGTGGTGCATGGCGTTTGAGCTGTAGCACGTGACACAGAGAGCAACACGCCGCGGCGCACTGGTATGTTTTTCAACACATAATTTATTCTTCACTGTTTTTGACTTCTTTCATTCCTCTAAAGTATCCCATGCTTCCGAAACTTATCTTTACTCTGACATGAATGATTTTTATTGATGTCAACTTATTTTTATTTAGAAAACTTGAGATCTCTTATTTTTGAATTAAAAACTTGGTAATCACTTTTCGAAGATAATCCTTCGATTATCATGAGCTTTATTTATTAAATATGGTTAGTGGAGTGAGGTTATTATATGATTATCTCATGGCTTTTTTAATAAATTAGTCCTTACAATTTCTCTTCCACTATAATCTTCACTAACAACACAATCTATACATAATGTATTATTTATAAATATTAGTTTCAATTATTAAAACTAATAAAATAACTCTAATAATAGAATTAGAGAATATAACATAATTCCTAATATCATTATTAATACAAATCTATGGTTAGTACTCTCAAATGAAATTTTTAACTCCTCTTTTAATTATCAATAAATCTAATAAGCTAAAATAAACCTCTAAATCAATTTTCATTATCAAAATTCTCTTTTTATTTCATAAACTCACACCTAAAAGTATAAAAAAAAATTGCAAATTTAGTCTTCAATCTAAAGTCATAATTTTATAGCCATAATAATCTATTTCTCATCCCAAATGATTATTTAAATCTAAATAAATTAACTTATATTTTTAAATTTAATAAAAATCTACCCATAGGAGTTTAAAATTTAACTCATAATTTTTAAATTTAAATTCATCAATAAATTAATACTCTAGAATATTTATTATACTACTAACAATCTTAAGAACTATATTTTTCATCATAAATTCATCCATCTTCCAAACTTTAGATTTTTCATCATCACCAAATTAGAAACTAAGAAAATGAATAACTAATTTTTTTTAAAATACTTATATAATCTTAAAGATTTTAAAATCACATCTCAAATATCCTATTAAGAAGTTTTGCCTTTAAAAGTAAAATCCCCTGGCTACTGTGCACTCTCGCTCTCTCTTTGTTCACGCGCACGAAAGGAAATGGATAGCAAAGGAAAAATAAAAAGGAAAGGACAAGGTACGTAAAACCGGACCGGTTATTGAACCGGTTATGGCACTGGATCACGGGTTAGTGGTTCAATTAGGGTTGAACCGGGGGTTGAACCGGTGGCAAATCGGTCATGATTAAAATAATATAATTTAAATAAAAAGACATTAATTATAAAAATATTTAACTAAATTCAACCACTTAAAAATTTAACAGTAATAAAATACAATATTTTAAATATCTATCATTACACTTACAACTCTTCAATCTCAAAGTTCTAGAGAAGAGATGGAAATAGAGTTGGAGAAGAGACGGAGATTGAGCTAGAAAAAAGATGAAGAGTCAGAGACTAAGCTGGAGAAGAGATGAAGATAGCAAAGACAGAGATAGAGCTGGAGAAGAGATGGAGATAGAGCTGGAGCCTGAAGAAGAGACGGAAACTAAGCTAGAGAAGAGACACTGATTAGGTTAGGGTGAGAGAGGAGAGACACAGATAAGAGGCCGAAATAAATGCTGTCTGAAAATCTGAATTGGACTTAGCGTGCTCTACATCTAATTTTTTATTTTTTGACTTTCGTTTTACTTTTTTTTTGTTATCTTATTCTAAATTCAGCACTCTGAAAAATAAAAAATGAAAAAAAATTCTCAAAAAAAATAACCCGGTTAACCCAGTCAACCCACCGGGTTAACCGGGTTATACCGGGTTACACCGGTTTATTTCATCACCGGTTTAGGAGTAAACCCAGACCGAACAAGGGACCGGGTCATCGGTTTTCAGGTTGACCCGGCCGGTCCGGTCCGGGTTTCAATACTATGGGAAAGGAGAGGAGAGGGGTGTGTTTTCAAAAAAGATGTGGGTCCATGCCATTTTTTTTAACTTTATACACCTACAGACACAATGCAATCCGGTCCTCACCCTTTCCTTTTTTTTTTCTTTATTAATCTTTCTCTTTTACATTTCTTTTTCTTCTTTCCTAATAATAATAATGACAGTGATGGTGGTGGTGGTAATAATAATAATAATAATAATTTTTAAAACATATTAACTTAAAATTATATCCTAAATTAGATCTAATAATCATCTCTAAATTAATTTACTTAGATCTAAATATCTACAAAATTTTTATTAATTCAAATTAACCATTAAAATTTAAATTAGATGTAACATGCTAGATATCTTACATACAGATTTGAGATGTAAGGATTTATAAATTTTAAAGAATAAAACCTGTGGGTGCTTAGAATTTAGAATTAAGGAAGTCTCAGTAGTCCCTTTCTCTTGCTTGCTTATGCTAATTAAAATAAAATAGAAAAAATATCCATATATTTTATTCTTAAAAATTACTCCTCATAGCCATGCTTGGACAAAAATTAAAAAAACCTTATAAGCTTTTAAATTCATATACACAAGCAAATTATATTTTATTATTATCCAAAATGACTGATAAACTATGAGTAAGAGATTGAGTTATTCACATAAATTCAAGAGCTTACGATTATACCAACTAAAGTTAATCTAAGTGGTAAAAATTCTCATCACTTTAACAAATGGTTGGGAATTTAGAGTTCATAATAGAAAGCCTACATGCTCTTTGGTGCTAATATGCAAAAGAGGAGAGAGTAAAAGAAAGGGCATGCAAGAGAGAGAGAGAGTGCAAAGATTGTTGTATTTGAGTTTTGAATAGAAAGGGGCTATTTAGTTGAGTAAGATCCATCCTCACTGTCATCATAGTAGTCAATTCTATCAAGACATACCCTAACTTTTATTCTTTAATTCTTTTTTGTTGGATTTCTAATCTATAGTACTTTTTCAAGTCTTTTTTTTCTTTTTTAACTTCTTTCATGGTATCAGAGCCCAATTAATTAAGTTTTTATAGTTTGTCCAAGTTGGAGCTTTATTTTGTATAGCAAAGCTCTAACACTCCCCTTTTTTATACTTTACTTTTTTTTTAGAATCATTCTTGAATTTTCTATATAGTGATTCATTTATTTGAGAATCACCCTTAACTTTTCAACCAGTGATTCATTTATATAATAATCACTCCTAATTTTTTTTTCATATAGTGATTCATTCTTCAAGAAACACTATTGAGTTTTCTGCATAGTAATTCATTTCTTTGAGAATCTCAACATCTCAGAGGAGATATTATTTGTTGTCGGCAAAGCCTACCATTTATATTCTTACAAAAAAAATGCTTATGATGATTTATTATCAAATTTTTAATGTCAAAAAATTATTTGTACATGGTCTAAATTTTGGAAGAGTTATATCTAATTGGGAAAATTAATTTGTATATCCTTATACTTTTTCCAAAGTTTGAATTAAGTCCTTATTATAGTTCACCCAATCAAAGAAATTAGTACTTATGTTAAAAAATGCATCAACTGCCATTAGTTAGGGTGATAGAGGATAATGTGTCATACACACAAATTTTGGTTCAAAAGACAGGAGGGGAGGTTAATGAAGGGGAGGGAAGGGAAGATGAGAGGAGGAGTTTAGCTTGCAGTTTTGGAAGGAGGGAAGGGGAGGGGAGTTAATTATAAAATGACATATATGCCTTTATATTAGTTTACTCCTTTTCTTTTATGAAAGAGTAGTTATATTAGAATTTATTTTTGAATAAAAAAATCTTTTATCTCACCTATTTATGATATTCAATGGAAAAGTTATTTATGATAAATTCTTATAATATTTTTTAAAAAAATTTATTTGATTAATTTTCAAAAATTATCTCATTAATTTTAAATATATTTTTAATAGAAGAAAATCTCAGGGTTGGAATTGAAAACATATGTAACAGTTAATAATAGATAGTTGATGACATGTAGAAGTAGTGGCATGATTTTTTATTTAACTGAAATATTGATAATTTTAGAATTCAATAAAATTGATAAGGATATTTAGCCATAAAATTTATCTCTTCTCCAAAACCTTCAAATTAGAGAGGAGCAAAATAAAAGAACGTGAGAGGAGAGAAGAAAGAAAATTTGATTCCCTCCCTTGCAATTTTTTCAATCAAACATTCTTTCTTCTCCTTCCATCCCCTCCAAAAACCTCAAATCAAACCAAAAAGTTCATCCCACTCTCATACTTTCTATCTATGTTTGATGCTTCTAATCTTTCACTCTTTTCTCTTACTAATATATTAAATCTCCTTCAATGCATGATTTCTAGTGCAACCCCTTTTTTTTGCTTCTTCAACCTACCCACTTTGATTTTCAATTCCAATGGTTTTATTTAACTAGTTTCCTCTATTCTCATTTAAGGAGTGTTGGAGTTGAAAGACTTCTCAAACTACTTTGCAGCCAAATAAAAACATGATTCTTCTCTAACAGAGTAGGGAGGCAATTGCTTCATCAACCCACAAGATTTAAAATCACAAGGACTGATGAATAAATTTTCCCTATCCAATTTAATCTTAAAATATAAATACAACTATAAAAGGCTCCTGTGTTTTTTTTTTTTTTTGCTGCCAACACTCCTGGTATAATTTTAAATTTTTAGAGAATTAAAAAAGTGTGTACACTGTATAAAAGGGAAAACCAAGATAAATAGTAATAATTATGCATTATTACCCATTTTATGATATTATAATTCTAGAAATAAGGGTCCGTCAAAGGAACAAAACGGAAAGGCCAGTTTGGTCATTTCAGTTCGCGCAAAACGGATGGCTTGAAAACTCAAAATATAGCCGTTGGAGCGAGGCCATGGGTATATTCTGAGGTCCCTTTTTTTTTTAAATTCCTCTCTGAAAGTGGCCACGTCGAATCGGATTCAAAGCATCAATATATGTTTCTTCAACAATGGAAAGCCACCAACTTCTCATAAATTCTCTCTCTCTCTCTCTGTCCCCTCTATCATGTAAACAAACCAAGTGAGAAACGAAGAAGGAAAGATCTTCAGTGCTTTAATGGCGCAGCGCGTTTCAGACGATGAGGTTTCAAATCAGATGGCCAAAGTCGAAAACGAAGCTCACCCCTACGCGTTTCATGTCTCTGGCCCTCGCAATCTGACCACCCTAAATTGGAGAGACCTTATCAATTCTAGTTGGTAAGCACTATCAATTTCACTGATTCGATCTGAATTTTTACCGTTTCGCTATGGGATCTGGTTAGTTACTGAGTAATTTAGCTTCGTTTTCTCACCTTAGTCCATGAACTTCGCTTCTGTTTCAGCAAGTTGAAAACAGAGCAGTGTTTGGGGGAATGGATTTTCACTTGCGAATGTAATGTTGAAAGCTTTTCGAAATGGATCTATTGTGTTTTCATTTGCTGTATTTTGATCCGATTTAGTAGATTTAGCTGAAAGAGTTCTGGCATATGAATGCATAGTTGAAAGCGTTTCAAATGAATCTCCAGTATTTTGTTTTTTTTCCCTTCCTTGGTAACTGCTTCTGATCGAAGTAACTATGTAGAAATGGAAGGAGATAAGAAAATTCATGAACTACTTGCTGGATTTCAAAGATATAATTAATTGTTTTGTGCTTAGCAGTTGTGTATTGGATTTCCAAATCTGCTTGTTTAGTTATATGATTGTCTTTCTATGTTTAGTTAATTTCTGTAATCAATTTTGAAGGTATAGCTTCTGGTAATTCTTGAATAGGCTTATCTCCCTGTTAAATTGTTCTGGCCCTTAGCTGCTTTAGTAAGCAAGTATTGAGAATAGAATTTTGAGGACCCTCTTTTTTTTTTTTTTTGGCCAGTGAATTTTGAGGACCCTTATTTACTGCATTTCCTTAACTATTATCAATAACTTAATGTAATGTGACTGTTTCCTATTTGGATTCATGGATTAGCTTACCTTGCGTGTTTGATTTTAGTCAAAATCAAGACAACAAGGGACTGAAATTTTGTATTGTTTTCTTAATTTGAATGTTATTAACCATCAAGCAATTGAAAGTGGTTGAACTGAACATACCCCTATTATCATGTCTTGATACTTGTAGAAAGTAGAAACCATATATTTTTCCATAATAATTTTTTTTTTCTTGCTGAAAGTAATTTGATTCCATTATCATCTCCTGACTCCTCTTAAAAATATATTTATGCTAAAAAGCCTGATGTTGTCGCATTGTTTCACAAAATACTTTAATCAATCCCTAGAGTCACATGAAGATACGTAGATGGTGATAATGTGACCCAAATCATTTATTTTCCGTCAAATATATAAATAGATATATTAGAATAGAGCTCAGCAATAAAAAATTAATTAAAAGTATTTTAGTGGAAATGCTAAGATGAAAGTGTGAATTTAATTTATGGTATGTTTTACTTTTGACCAAAAAAGTTTTTATGGTATGTTTTGTGATTTTCAGTTTAAAATAAATAAATAAAGAAAATACACAAGACTTTGTGTTGGGGAAAAAGCCAACAAGCTTCTAATTAATGCATTATGACTCTGTTTTAATTTAAAAACAGGATCTTGTGCATTTTTATATCATTGCCCTAGATTTTAGTAAATTTTGATTTCTGCAAGGCAGATTAGAAGTTAGAAGTGTTTTACCCAAAAAAAAAAAAAACTTAGAAGTGTTAAAATCTGTGGATTAACAAGAAATCACTTATTCATATATCTCTGTTTCAACAAAAACAGAGACATGCGTTAATCACTATAACCTTGGCACAGATTTTCAAATTATCATCATGAAAATTTCTTTACAGGAAAGATCCAAATTACAAAAGAACAGTAATAGCCTGCTTCATCCAAGCAGTGTACCTCCTGGAACTAGACAGGCAAGAGAATCGATCCCAATCAAACGCTCTAGCCCCGCACTGGTGGATCCCCTTCAAGTACAAGCTCACCAAAACTCTAATCGACGAACGCGACGGATCCATTTTCGGCGCAATCCTCGAATGGGATCGATCCGCCGCCATGGCCGACTTAGTCCTCCTCAGACCTAGCGGAGCCCCCAAAGCTGTTCTCGCACTCCGAGGAACTATCCTCAAGGGCCCCACCATCCGCAGAGACATCGTAGACGATCTCCGATTTCTCGCCTGGGAAAGCCTCAAAGGGTCCGTGAGGTTTAGCTCAGCCTTGGAAGCTCTCAGATCTGCTTGCGATGAGTATGGTAGTAGCAACGTGTGTGTTGCAGGTCATTCTCTCGGTGCAGGTTTTGCTCTTCAGGTCGGAAAGGCTTTGGCCAAAGAAGGGATTTACGTGGACACGCATTTGTTCAATCCACCTTCAGTTTCAATCGCCATGAGCTTCAGAAACATTGGAGAAAAAGCTGATTCGCTCTGGAAGAAGGTGAAGAAATCTTTCGTCTCTAACTCAGACCCCGAGGACGATCAGATTCCTCCAAATGTCACTCCCGGATCCGGGTCGGGTAATTGGATGACCCGGCTCACAAGTTGGAAGGATTCTGGTCGCTGGGTTCCACATTTGTACGTGAATAACAGTGATTATATTTGTTGCTCTTATACCGACCCGGATCATGGTGGCGATGATGGCAGAGCCAGAGAAGGAGATGCCGACAAAGAGAATGTGAGGCCGTCTAGTGGCGGCAGCGGCGGTCAAACTGCAGCGAAATTGTTTGTGGTGACAAAGGAGAAGCAGAGGTTTCTTGAGGCTCACGGGTTGGAACAGTGGTGGTCCAGTGACGCGGAGCTCCAACTAGCTATACATAATAGTAAGTTGATAACAAGGCAACTTAAGTCTTTGTATAATGTGGCTTCTTCACAAATAATACAAGGAAAAGGGAACCTCAAGTGAGAGTGTTATTATTGTAGATATTTTATTTGATTTTTTTGGATATTTTTTAAAATTTTCTTGTTTGTGAAATAACACGCTTGTATACACACATGTTGTATTTTCACTATTTTTGTTCTTGTTTGATCAATTGGTTTTGCTGTGCTGCACGGAGGTGAATGTAGTCCTTCTTCATTGATTTGCTCTCTAGCACATCATACCCTTCTTGCATTTATATGACTGAGAAGCTGAGATTCCTTCAATGGCGAAACGGAGGCTGTGGCATGCTATTCAATGAGATATGTAAATGATTTGAGAAAGTTCAAGATAGTCATAAAAAAGAGCACAGCAAAATGATTTGAGACTAAACTTCTGGACATCCTTGATTCCTTTCATTATATGATTTTTTAATTGAAAACAATACAAAATAATTAAATACTAAATATGAATATCTCCTCTTTATATTATGAAGAACTAGTCCATTTTTAAATATTAGGATGGGATCGTCTCCTCTTCCTTTCCATAGTCTTCCCCTCTTTTGTTTTTTTAAACATAAGATTAATATTTTAGTTGGTTGGGATTTGATTTTTTTAAAATATTTTTTCATTTTTTGGTCAAAAAAATATTTCTTTTTAAATTATATTTACTATGCTTTTAAACTTTTCAAATTAAATTTTAACAGTTTTGCATTTGATTATTTATTTTTTTATAATTTAAAATTTTATAATAATAATTTTATAGGCAATCCAATCAAAACCCTTCAAATCTTGATATAATGATTAGAAAAGGAACAAATAGAAAGAGTATGGGAGGGAAAGAGGAGAGAATCCTCACCAAATCTAATTTAATGTAAGAATTATCACACCTATTGCATTATATTTAAGTTTTAAATACATAAATCACTTTAATTATAAGATTTTCCGATTCAAATAATTTACTGTTGACTTGAGGAAATCTTAACCTCAATCTTCAAATTACATGATAGAAAAAATCAACTAATGTTGCAATTGATGTGAACAGTTTTTGTGGGCTGATGTGAACAGATTGATTCACTTATTTTGACAACTAGAATCAATATATATTTCGTAAAAATTGATATCAATGAATTTCGAAATTAATTTTAATGGGATTAATTTAATTAGTTTGATCAATCGATAAATATTAAAGTAAAATTATAATATTAATAAAAATATAACCACGTACTTAAATCGAATTTCCAAAATGAAATCCTTCTTTAATGTCGTTGATTTCCCATTTTGAGATTTGATAATATCTTATTTAATTTTCCCACTAATACTAATATTTTCACAATAATAAATAAATAAATTATTTAAAATTTTTCGGTAGAATTTTTTTGGGACAACATTACTAGAATTAACTGTTAATATTTTTTGAAGCGATAATATTTAAATCAAGCTAAATTAAAGAACGGTTCTAAAATAATTGAGTATTTCATAAATAACTTTTTCAGTAAATACAACGTATAGAATAAATTATTCAAAGTAGTAATATTCAAATCATTTCAAAATCAATTAATTTTTAATTAGAACTTTTCAATTGATTTTTTTTTAAAAAAAATCTCACTCAGGATGAATAGGTAGATGATGGAAGAGAAACCATTAACATAACTTCGGATGGTTTCTGCAATTAACAATTTTAATTTTGTTATGAATACAAATCAAATAGTTATTCCACAATATCTTTCAGTATCTTCTTTATTATTAATTTAAAGATTTTGATAGGATTTGAGTTGTAAACCTATGCCTATAAATAAATAGCTCCTCAAATCGTATTGTTGTGTCAAAATACAAGAGAAATTTCTCTTATTCTCCTTTTAACTTTCTCTCCTTTTCTTCTCAGTTTCCATTATTTATAATGTTATTAGCAATTTTTAAAAGAGATGGAGGCATATTCACTTGAACATTAACTCGTATGATCTCAGTCATCTATATATTCTTGTTTGCTGGCTAGATTGATTTGGTGTTGAAGCTATCTGGCTATATTCATATATTATTTAACTATTATTTATTTATCAATAGCTATGCTGCTTTATTTGTGTCATATTCTTTCTCTGATTCTTCTTTCATATGATAACTTTCTTCTTCTCTCAAATGACCAAATAGTTATATATTATATATTTTCTCTATAAAATAGATTTTAAAGTTATTTACATAAAATATAAAGTGAATTTTAAAAATATTCAACAAGGATACAAAACAGATCCTAAAAATATTTAGGTTTTTATTATTTTTACGTAAATTATTTTATAAACGTAGCTACCGTATCATGTCCTGTTATCACTATATTTGTTGAATCAATGCGTTTTTATTTTGTGTAATTATCCTAATTGAAGTAATTAACTAGTTTTGTTATATCTATATTTGAGATTACGATAAAACGAAAACATCATGATGATTTGTTTTTGTGTTTGTATTTGTTTTATAAATATAAAGTCTGTTTCTATATATATATATATATATATATATATATATCCTTCTTTACATTAAATACTTAGCATGGCAATACATCTGGTTTTTATTTTAATTTCTTTCGATTGATTCTTTTCAATTTTCCTTTGCTCATGTGTTAAGGGTTATTGCATATTTATACTTAATTATATTTAATTGTTTGATCAATTGGCTAAATGTTACTCATTTATTTAAGTTATATATTTATTCTCAGTGGATTAGTGGATGTTACGTAATTAATCTTTATTTTAGGATAGCACGAACAAGTCAAACCTAAGCAAACTTAATCAAGCTCGTCGCATTGGAAATCACTCAGAAAAATTATTTACCCTTGGATTTAAATGCCAAGATTCACCTAGATTTAAATTGTTTAGGCGAGTAACATATAGCAATATTAAATTTTTCATTATATATATTAGGGGTAATGACATTGAAGGCCCTTAAAAAGAAAATTATTATAATAAGAGCCTATTAATTTTGTATCAGATATTGTGTTATGAAAACGTGAATATGCTATTATGAAAAGCTGAGCCTAATTAACTTGTTAAATTTTTGAAGAAATCCTAACAAAAAATACAAATTAAAGTTTAATTTTTCACAATAACATATTGGTGTATTCATAACACAATATCCGATACAAAACTGATAAGTCTGTATTATAATAATTTTTTTATTTTACAGCCTTCAATGTCATTCCCCCTGTATGGTTATTATAACTTTTATTTTGTGTTATTATTTTATTTTTTGATATATGTTTATTTTTTTTTTTTTTATGGATATCTCTCATCCGCAATGCCCACTATGCTCGTTCTTCACCTATATGCTGTCTTGATCGCCCAAGTTATCTTCACTGTCGCTCATATATATGCCTCGAGTCGCCCAGATCCATGCCCATCCTCGTGCCACCCAGACCTGTGCTGGTCTTTGCCGTGGCCCCATTCCGCATCGTTCCAAGCGTTTTTGTTGGCCTGAGTTGCAATTCACAAAAGCAAGACAATGGCAGAGGAGGAGGATCCTGCACCCCTTCTTTATATGGATGTGTATAGATTGGGGCGCTATAAAAGGATGGTTTTTAAGCTATTCCATAACAAAGCCCCTTACGCGGCATCAAATTGAAAAGGGAATGAGTCCCAAAACTATCTCATGTGAAGGTGGAGATAGCATATATGGCTCATATTTTCCAATTCACCAAAGATAGGGAAGGGTTATTAATAATAGATAAAAGAGACTGTAATGATTGTGGGTCTCATTTTGTGATAACATTGGGAGCTAATCGCAGCTTTGACAGGTCTCATGTGATTTTTGGCAAGGTTTTAGATGTACATGATGCTAGTCACGCCTTGGTATTTGGATGATGTGCAGCCAGGTCCTTACATGTCATGGGTTCTCTTCCCTAGACCATTCACAGACCATTATTGGTCCTCACAAGGCATTAATGATGGAGCAGAGCCATCTTCTTCAAATAAATCTCAAAAGCCATCTTTTGCAGGGAAATGTCAAAAGTTTGGGTACGCGGGCACGGAATGTGAAGATTGCCGGGAAGACGAAAGGGAGGAGGAACGCAAGATCCCGTCAAGATCCCAGCATTTGAGGAGACAACCTGTAGTGAAGTCTTATGTCACTTACTATCGAGTTACTTTCTGCTTTGTGTTGGGCTTGTAGTTATCTACGACGTGTGCTTTGGTTTTTACTTTATTAAAAATTCATTTATTGAAAGTTTATTTATCAAATATCAATTTAGTAAAAGTTAATTATTATAATAAAATTTATATTTGAATACTTTTTTAAAAAAATTAATTTGACAAATTGAAAGTTATTTAAATTAATAATGATTTATGCTTTTGAAATATACTTTTGAGTATACAATGACTCAAAAAGACATTGATTTAATTTGTGAATTTTTTTATACAAATATAATACATTAAAAATTTTTAAACAACAGGAAAAAATTTAATATGTTAAATAATAAGAATAAAAAATATAAAGTGTGAAAAAATTATGCAATAAATAGTTTAATAATCATTAATACTAAATGGTTACATAATTAGTGGTTCGATTTATAATGTACAATTTAATTTTTTTAAGAGAATCACAAATTCTATTTATCTTTCTATTAAGTGTTAATCATATTTTTATCTTCAAAACACCTAAAGTCATGGGTCCCACCATCATAGCATATGAAGACAAAATTATTGAGGAGTTTTGGAATGAAGAGACCTGTGATTTGCATTGCATTGAAAGGTAGTATGGTCAATGATAAAGTGAGTTTCAATGAATTTTTTAAAGTGTTTTTCAAAAGCTCTCACCTTGTCAAATCCACATTCATTTACACCTATTGTAATTATTCAAATAACATCTAGCATCTAAAAAGTGAGGAAGAATTTTTGAAAAGTAAAATGTAACAAAACCAAATGGTCCCTATGGTTATTTTGGCAAACTATAAATACTTATCATGTATATCATCAGACTTATGATGATTGAAATATTATTCAGTATATTTGCCAAAAAAAAAAAGTTATAACAACTCTAACTATATGGAATAATATATATAACCAAAAATTTAGTATTGCTATATGCTAGTGAGACCATTAAATAAACAAATAAAGCAACCAATGATTAGAATGTACACAAGAATAAATTTATAATTTATAAAAATAATATTCTTTAGCATTCAATAAATAAATGAGTAACAGTTTAGTTCA